AGTTGATTCTTGAGAAGGCCCATAGTTTGCAGTATTCCCTTCATTTGGGAGCCGCCAAGATACATCAGGATTTGAGGCAGCATTATTGGGTGAGAAGAATGAAGAAAGATATAGTTGTGTATATGGATCGGTGTTTGAATTGCCAGCAGGTAAAGTACGAGCATCAGAGGCCTGGCGGTTTGCTTCAAAGACTTGAGATTCCCGATTGGAAGTGGGAGCATACTACCATGGATTTCATTATTGGGCTCTCACGGGCTTCGAAGAAATTTGACGCAATGTGGGTCATTGTGGTTGACCAAGTCACCACATTTCATTCCAGTGGAAGCTACCTATTCCTCAAAGTGATTAGCTGAGATATATATCCGCGAGATTGTTCGTCTTTACGGTGTGCCGGTGTCCATTATTTTTTATCATGGTACGCAATTCACATCGCACTTCTAGAGGGTCGTACATTGTGAGTTAGGCACACAGGTTGAGTTGAGTACAACATCTCACCCCAGATGGACAGACAGTCCGAGCACACCATTCAGATATTTGAGGATATGTTTCGTGCCTGTGTTATGGATTTCGGGGGTTCTTAGGATCAGGTGTTGCTGTTTGTGGAGTTTGCCTACAACAATATCTACCAATCGAGTATTCATATGGCTCTTTATGAGGTCTTATATGGGAGGCGGTGTCATTTACTAGTGGGTTGGTTTGAACCGGGAGAGGCTCGGTTGTTGGGTACCTATTTGGTTCAGGACGCCTTAGAAAAGGTCAGGATGATTCAGGATCAACTTTGCACAGCTCAGTCTAGGCAGAAGAGTAATGCCAATCGGAGAGCTCGTGATGTTGCATTAATGGTTGGAGAGATGCTTTTGCTTCGGGTTTCACCCATCACGGGGGTGATGAGGTTCAGGAGAAGGGCAAGTTTAGCCATATGTATAAAGGACCCTTTAAGATCCTAGAGATAGCTGATGAGGTGGCCTACAAGCTTGCATTGCCACCTATCTTATCAGCAGTTCACCTGGTGTTCCATGTTTCCATGCTCCGGAAATATCATGGTGATCCATCCCATGTATTAGATTTTAGCTCAGTCCAATTGGACAAGGATTTGACTTACGAGGAGGAGCCAGTGGCCATTCTAGCATAGTAGGTCCGGAAGTTGAGGTCTAAGAGTTATCATTCTATTAGAATGCAGTGGAGATTTCAGTCGATTGAGGTAGCTACGTGGGAGTCCGAGTTCGATATGCGGAGTAGATACCCCACCTTTTCACTAGTCCAGGTACCTTTCTATGTCCGTTTGAGGACGAACGTTTGTTTTAGAGGCAGAGAAATTTTGAGTTTTAGCCTTTATTTCTGTGTTCCGAGACCTCGATTAGCTTCGTTTAGTATTTCACGACTTGTGTTCGCAGTACATGCCTTGTACCAGAAAGTTTTTATGTGAAAATTTAAAGAAAATGTGAAGTTTAGCCTTAAAACTAATTTGAGTTGACTACGGTCATATTTTGTGTAAACGGACCTAGATCGATATTTTGATGATCTCAGTGGGTCTGTATCGTGATTTGGACTTGGGCGTATGTCCGGAATTGAATTCGAAAGTCCCTAACTTGTTTTGACGTGATTTGTTGAAAACTAGTAATTTGAAGGTTTAAAGAAATCTGAAGTTTGACCATAGGTTGACTTTATGGCTACCGAGTTCGGATTTCGGTTTCAAAACTTGGTATATTTTCGTTTTGCTATTTAAGACTTCTCTGCAAAATTTGATACAAAACGGAGTTGGTTTGGTAGGATTCGGACGCTCGGCTGTGAATTTGAAAGTTCTTGAGTTCTTTGAAAATTTCATGCATTTGTTAGTCCGATTCGTAGTTCTAGGTGTTATTGGTGTTTTGATCACGCTAGCGAGTTGCCTATGATGTTAATACACTTGTATGCATGTTTGGTTTGGAGTCTGAGGGGCTTGGGTGATTTTCGGATAGGCTACAACTCATTGTTGGACTTAAGAAATCTATAGGATTTTGCTGTTGTTGGAGTCTAAGACTTTGTACTTTGCGATCGTGAAGGTACTCTCACGATCACGAAGGGAAAACTGGAACAGGGGCGTAATTCATTCTTCGCGAACGTGAAGGACTGGTCATGAATGCGAAGTAGTGGGGGGTTAACCCTTCGCGAATGCGACCTCCCTCTCGCGAACAAGTAATGTAGGGAGGGAACTGAGGGAAGCTGGTCAGTACTCTACGCGAACGCGAACCCAGGATCGCGAACGCGAAGGCCATAGGGACAAGCCATCGCGAATGCATAGCGTTTCTCGCGAATGTGAAGGCCACTCATGCCGCTATTCTTCCCGATCGCGTCAGCCCTTCGCGAACGCGAAGAAGGCCTGACGCCCAATGATTTAAAATATCCCAAAGTCGGGATTTATCCCATTTCTAATAATTTTCAAGTTTGAGCTCGGCCTAGAGGCGATTTGGAAGAGGTTTTCATCCCAACTTCATAGGTTATTAGATTTTAACTTTTTTCCTTACATTTCCATAAAGACCCATTGATTTTAACCTTTAATCTATTCCTTTTCATGGTAGAAATTAGGGATTAAGATAGAAATTGTGGATTTTGAGAAATTGAGATTTAGACCTCAAATTGAGGTCGGATTTCGAAACAGATCATATAACCAGGCTCGGGGGTGAATAGACAATCGGGGTTTGGTCCAAATTTCGGGTTTTGACCAAGCGAGCTCGGGTTTGAATTTTGTTGACTTCTTTCAAAAATATTAAAGATTGAATCTTTTTTACTCGTGAGTAGATTCTAAAGCTTATTCTGAATTATCTGAACTATATTTGGTTATATTTGATTGGTTTAGAGGCTAATTCTACAGGAAAAGTCGTGGTTGTGCATTGATTTGGTTGCAGAGTGAGGTAAGTATCGCAGTTAACCTTGACTTGAGGGATTAGGACTTGTTGGTCTATTTGCTATGTATTTTATGTTTGGGAACGACGTATATGTGAGGTGACGAGTACCTACGCATTGTCGTTGGGTTAAAGCATGAGGGTGGAAATTATTTCTTTGTGTTATATTGTCTCATTAATTATGATAACCATGCTTAGGTTAGATTATTACTTATTTGAGTTCATTTCGTATTATTGCTTATTTCAAATTTGTTGAACATATTTGGAAGTTGAAGTTTGATATCATGGCACCATATTTGAAGTTAATTATTCTCCATATTGTTTATTATTCGAATCCCTATTATTATTATTACATGGTGAAAAAGAGAGTAAAAGCACGAAGGGTGATGCCATGCCATTTTATTTGTATTATCATTATTACATGATGAGGAAGAGAGTAAAAGCACGAAGTGTGTTGCCGTGTCATTTTCATATCATTGATTTGACTGATTTCCAATTCTTGGTGATTTACTTGGTTATTTCGTGATTTCATACTTGCCGTATTTATTATATCTGCCCCTTTTCGCATGTCCCCTCCCAGTTAGTATATTATCATTCTTTGTTATTATTGCTGCTTTATATACACTTGTACATGTTTATTTACGTAGGTGTCTTGTTATAGCCCCGTCACTACCTCGTCGAGGTTAGGTTCGACACTTGCAGAGTACATTGGGTCGATTGTACTCTTACTATACTTCTACACTTCTTGTGAAGATTCTGGTATTGGTCCAAGCAGTGAGTGAGGTACGTCAGCTCGGATTATTTCATATGGAGACTCGAGGTAGATCTGTTGGCGTCTGCAGACCTTGAAGTCCCCTTCCATTTCCCGCTTTTACTATTTATTTCTTTCGAAGCAGTTGTATTTATTTCATACCTCATTTGTAGACTTCTACTTGCTCGTGTACTCGTGACTCCAAATTTCTGGGAGTAGGTATTATCACATGATTTATATTAGTACTGTGTTACTTGGATTTTATTTCTCGTTGAATATCATTATTGTGTTTTAACTGTTAAAATTGGTTAATTGATAATTTCATGTCAGCTTGCATAGCAAGTGGATGTTAGGCGCCATCATGACCCCGAGATTGGGATTCCGGATCGTGACAAAAGTTTTAATACGTTTCTTACTAAAAAAATTAAAAAATTAAATAATATTTTCCTTATCAAATCCCTTTCTCATTAGTGTGTAAGTGATACAACTTCTCTCTCTAAAAAATTTCTCTCTAGAACGTCTCTCTCTAACGGCTCTATTCAAAGCGCGTTCTGACCATGCTCCATGAGATGGAGCCGCCGGGAGGACTCCAACCGGCGCATCTGGGCGACCAAAATCAAACTAAGGGGGAGATTGCTCACATGAATGAGAATCTCTTAGGGAAACACTCATACGCTACTATGATTTCATCTCCATCAAGCTCTTCTCCGAACTCCATCCACCAAGAGAAAGAGAAAGTGATAGCAAGACAAACAACACACAATGGTATGCCTGCTGTTATATTCAAAGCTTCAGATTACTACGGTATCATGGTTGAATCGTGTAAGTACACTAATGTGGGTAGGTTTCTTAGACCACGCCCCCTAATTGATCAAATTAGGTCTAGATTCAAAGAAATTATCTCTCTGAAAGGGTCAGTAAGAATTGGGGTTTTGACAACTATAATGTTTTTATTGATCTATTTAAGGAGGAAGATTGGAAAACTGTATGGTTCTGACGGGTCACTGAAATCGATGGGATGCAGATGTGGTTGCAGAAATGGTCTTCGGACTTTAAACCGGATGAGGATGTATCGGTTGCCCCTGCATGGGTTCTTCTACTAGGAGTACCCTTCCATATGCACGATTGGCACTATATAAAGCATCTGAGCTCAGTTGGTACTCCATAGCCCTCGATGCTTGTACGATGGGGAGAACAAGACCAAGTATGGCCAAAATCTGAGTTGAGGTTGATTTGCTTAAACCTCTGCCACAGAGTGTTTTTGTGGGTCAAGAATATAAGGAATCTCCTCTCAAAGGATACACACTAAATTGGAGTATGAAGGGGTCCCTAAATACTATAAACATTGCAGAAAAATAGGACACTACATGGTCAACTATAGGGTCCTTGAAAAGAAGAAAGTTGAACAAAAGGAAGAAGGTGAGGGAACGGAACAGGATAGGGAAACTCAATTGGACGCAGGAATTGAAACAAGCAAACAAGCGATCAATGACAAGAGGGAGGACCGAAAATCTCCAAAATTGGAGAATGATCAGAATCAGCAAAAAGAGAATGATAATTCCAGGGCCATGAAGGATAGCAGGAAGAAGAACAAGAAAAAGAACACCAAAAGGATGCCAAAAAAGAAAAGTAAGGTGCTATTCAAACCTGCTCAGAGCAGCAACAAAAGGAAAGAAATGGCTGTCTCTATAGCAAAGCAGAATGAATTCTCGAAGCAGGCCATAAAAGAGAGCTTACTAAGCCTTGTTAATGATGATACGGAAAAGGGTCAAAACTGCCCCTAGACTATTGGAGTTGGTACAATAATGCCCTCCGTCCACCAACTTTGAAAAAATTGCCCTCACCGTTATCTTTTCTGCTCAAGAATGCCCTTACGACTAACGGCCATGTTAGATAAAAAATTTAATTAATTTCCACGTGTCATAACGAAAAAAAGGTCAAAACTGCCCCTAGACTATTGGAGTTGATACAATAATATCCCCTCCCCCCTCCCCCCCCACCATCTCAAAAAATCTCTCCCCCACCCCCTCCACACTCCCCCCTCTAGCGTGTGTGCGTTCATATTTTTCTTGTTCTTCTCATCCTTTTTTTGACCTTGCACTCTATTTGAATAATCACTACAAACATCATTAAAGTTTTATTTTCAGACAACCAAAATTTTTTGTCACCAATACTTTACGTCATACAACTTTCAAAGACCCTGTTAGGCCAAAAAGAACTTAATTAATTTTCATGTGCCATCGTCCCATTGATCTAACTTAAGACTCACCTAAATTAAAATAAACTCACCCACATTCTAAGACCCTTTTCCTCCGTTTCTTTCTCCTCTTTCTTTTAAAAATTATTCCACTAACTAGAACTCTCATACACCCATTTTTTCCCTAAGCAAACAAAACTCTCTCGTATAGTTAATCACCTTCCTCTTCCTATTTCTTTGTATATTAAATGTACACATCAATATTCCTATTTTTTTCCATCACAAAAATATCATCCATCATCAATTTTTCTTACTACACTTTACTGCTTCATACAATAAGCTCAATCAAGTATTTATTACAGTTACATTCACCAATAAGTCGTATTCTCTCATATTCTCAGGCATATGATCTCAAATATTTCTCTTGATTTAACAGTCTCTTTTTTAAAATTGGCGGTGTTGATATAACCTGAAGATCATCCTCGTACAATAGCTTAATTTATGGACATGGTCGGATGTTTAGACTATGGTGAGCCAATGAAGAAGAAAAAGGTCGAGGTCCGAGCAGAGACCAAATAAATCATTAGTATAATCAAAATTGGATGCAGAGTTGTCAGGAAATATACAACAAAAAATATTGCAAATGCTCAATGATCATTACTATTGGCAGAAAAATAACTTATTAAACCATAAAATCTTACAATGAAGCATTAAATTCAAAGAGTACCTGTTTTCACTCAGAAAATTGATTTACTAAAAAATGTTAATTTAAAAATTAAATTAAGGCCGAAAAATCTGAGATAGAGAGGGAGATCCGTGGGTGTTGAAGGGTGAAAATCTAAGATGGAGTTGGCTAATAAGTGGATATGGGGTGAGGTTTTAATTTAAGCCAATAGGAAATTAACACATAATAAATAATAAATTTTTTTCTTAATCAAAATAGGGCTGTTAGTTTTTAGGGTATGAGTGGGCCGAAAAGTTGATGTTAGGGCAATGAATGGGCCAGATTTTTAACGGTGAGGGCAACTTTTACAAAATAGGTAGACGGAGGGTATTTTTAAACTTAAGCGAATTGTCTAGGGGCAGTTTTGGCCCTTTTCCGATGATGATAATATTCTTCAACAAGATCAAGGCATAGAGCTCAACAATAATGAAAGCAAAACCAAGGGAAATGAGCTTGATACAGAAGAGGAGCAACAAATACATAACAAACACAGGCAAATAATAGTCAGGAAGACAAAATCGAAGAAAAAGAAAATCTTGAACAACACTGCTGTGACTCCAATTCGTCAACTGTTCCTACTGAAATAAGGAACCATCCTGGCCTACAATTGGTTGTGGACCTATATGGGAACAAGGAAGATGGCAGCAAATCTAACCTGGAGGATAAAAATACTGATAGTCTTCAGATGGCTTATTAGTCTTATAGTCAAAAGGAAATGAGAAAAGAGGACCTGGATACTCAAAATCACAATGACGAATAGCAACAAACGACAAGAATAGGAAGAAGTGAAACCAGGAAAAGTGATAAAAGAAACAGAAACAAGACTCAACCTTCTATGATAAGGAGCCAAAAGGAGAATATCACCACTAATTGTTCCAATGATTAGTGCCCTATTTTGGAATATTTGGGGGGTTAGATCCAAAAATCCATTCACAGGCTAAAGAAATTGATCAATTTTAACAACACTCAATTTGTGGCTATCTTCGAACTCTTTAGTACTAAGGAGAAAGTAGATGGCTAAAGAAAATTCCTTGGATTTCAACATTGCTGCTTCAACAACAATGAACAAATTTGGTGCTTTTCGAATGCTTACAATCCTACTAAGATTATTCACTCAGTGACCAACATGTTACTATCAAAATGTACAAAGCTATTGGAAAGCAATACGTTTGCATTACTGCAATATATGCTAAATGCAAATGATACGACAGAAAAGATCTTTGGTATGCTCTTCAACAGGACAATCTGGTGGTGGATGTCCCTTGGTGTATGGGGGGATTTTAATGTCATATTGGATCCTAATGAGAAACTAGGGGGTAAGCCACACAGAATGCATAGAAGTTTGGAGTTTCAAACATGTATGGACAATTGTAGGGTTACTGATATTGGGTATAGTGGCTCAAACTATACCTGGTGTAACAACAGAAGGTCCGGGAAGAGAATTTGGAAAAGGTTGGACAGAGTGTTTGTTAATGACTTGTGGGATCAACTCTTTCAAAGGTGCTCTACTAGGCACCTAGCTAGGACTGGATCTGATCATAGGCCTCTTCTAATGAAGAACATAAATGGCAACCAACATCACATTACATACTTTAGATTTCTGAATTGCTGGGTGAACCAAGATGGCTTCTTTGACATTGTCAAGGAAGTTTGGAATATTGATGTAGCAGGTAATCCAATGTGAATCTTACAATCCAAGCTAAAGGTACTTAGTAAGAGATTGAGTTAATGGTCCAGGAAAGATATAGGGGATATTAATGAAGCTGTCATAAGATGGGCTTTTCTCCAAGAGTTAGAAGATATTGACATTGAGAATAACACTAAAAAGAGTAGAGAGGATGTCAACAAGGCTTATGCTCAATATTACAGATAGCTTAGTCTTCAAGACTCTCTGCTCAGACAGAAATCTCAAGCAAAATGGGTTGAAGAGGGGGATAACAATACTAGATACTTTCATTCCATCCTTAGGGAAAGAAGAAGAAGGCAACATATTAACCGTGTTAAATACAGAAAAGATAATTGGATCAAGGGATGAGAAGATAGCTAGGAAAGTTGTTAAACATTTTCAATCTCTCGTCAACCTTACTCCACCTACTATCAACACTTCAATTCTGGATTGCATTCCTTCTTGTATCTTGAGGGATGACAATGATATGTTGAGCAAGATTCTAGATGATAAAGAAATCAAAGAAGCTGTTTTTAGCCTAAGCCCTCATATCACTGCAGGCCCAGATGGCTTCAATGGTACCTTTTTTCAGAGTTGCTGAGACATCATCCAAAAGGAGATAATTGCCTTTGGGATAGAATTCTTTAAGGAAAAAGGTTTGACTAAATTCTATTCTCATACTTGTTTGGTCTTAATTCCTAAAGTTGATAATCCTGCTACTTTTGCTGAGTTTAGACCTATTAGTTTTTTAAATTTTACTAACAAGATTATTTCTAAAATTATTTCTATTAGAGTTAATACTCTTTGTACAAATTAGTTTCTTTGAATCATAGTGGATTTGTAAAAGATAGATTGATTTCTGAGAATGTCCTGCTAGCTCAGGAAATTATTCACAATATTGCTCATATTAACAAAGGTGGTAATGTGGTAATTAAACTTGATATGGCTAAAGCATATGATAGAATGTCCTGGGATTTTATTTATGATGTTTTAAGAAAATTTGGATTCTCGGATAGTTGGATTTTAGTGATCCACAATATAATCTCTAATGTGTGGTACTCTATCATTGTGAATGGTACTAGACATGGCTTCTTCTCATCCTCCCAAGGGCTTAACAATGAGATCCATTGTCTCCAACTCTTGTCATAATAGTTGTTGAGGTCCTTTCAAGATCTCTTAACTATCTTTATAGGAATCCGAATTTCATCCCTTTCTCTATGTCTTCTAATGTTCCAAAGATTAACCACCTAGCCTATGCAGATGATATTGTTATTTTCTGTAGTGGTGGTTCTACCTCTGTTAAATTGGTCATGAACACTATATATAACTATGAAAGAAGCTCAGGTCAACTTGTTAATAGGGATAAAAGCTACTTCTTAACTGCTCCTAATACTGCTGCAACCAGAATCAACAGGATTAGAAATTATTAAGGTTATATGGACAAGGCTTTTCCGTTTACATATCTAGGTTGTCCCCTTTATGTGGGAAGGAAAAAAATTGAGTATTTTTATAACATGATTAGTAAGGTTGTTAAAAGACTTAATGGCTGGCAATGTAAATTTCTTTCTCATGGTGGTAAAGCTATTCCGATAAAAACTGTGCTTCAATTTATCCCTATTTATACTTTATCTGCAATGTCTCCCCTTGAAGGTGTGTTTAGATTAATTGAAAAGCACTTTACCAATTTTTTCTGGTGTAACTCTGTTGATCATATAAAATACCATTGGAGTTCCTGGAACCATATTGCTCTTCCTACTGAGGAAGGGGTCATTGGAATCAGGAGAATGGAGGATATTAGCAACATGTTAGCCATGAAAAGGTGGTGGAGGATCAGGTCCACATCATCTCTTTGGGCTAACTTTATCAGAAATAAATACTGTGTGAGGTCCCATTTGGTCTCAAAGAAATTGGCTCCAGGTAACTCTCATGCTTGGAACCATGTTCTCAAAATGAGGGATATTACAAAGAAGCATATGGTTTGGCAGGTAAACTCCGGGTCTAGTAGTTTCTGGTGGGATAACTGGTCTCTAAAGGGTCCATTGGCATATTGGGTCCTAACACTCCAAAGAGTGCCAAGACCTTGGTTGGAGAGTTCATAACTAATGGCCATCGAAATATATTGAAGCTCAAGAACATTTTACCAGATCAATTGGTCCAGCACATTCAATCCATAGTCATTAGCAATCAAGACAAGGAG